CACATCACATGACATGATTACGTCTTATTCATTCTGGCTCCCCAGCTTATTAGCGACCTGTTAAGTTGGGCTTTCAGTTTTGTGGGAATTGCGGAAGTGTCGGATTCTCAGATAAAGGTCAGCCGACTCTCGTATGCAGTGATTTATTTATTTTTTCATCCGCTTCAGCAGCTGAATTCGTCTTTGCGCTATTCTGGACATTGAAGTTGGAGTATATTGCTTATACACTCGCATTCCATGGAACCTTTCTGAACGAGGGCCTTGAGTTTGATTCTTCTGCTTCAACGCCATTCCTGAAGTGTCAGATTCTCAGATAAGTGCAAATTGTCTACAGGATTGGTTATCTTCTTCTTTTTTTATGCAGATTTTGGCACAACATAGTTCTTTTTATCCAGAGTTTAGGGTTTAGCCTCAGAGAATCATGCCGGAAATTTGGGCAGCGCTCCCGCTGAGGGGGGCCGACCCCCATCGCAAAAAGTTTCTTTTACTTGATGAGGTTGCTGGAAGTTGAGTCTGATGCGATTTCTTGTTCGTGATCGGTCTGTCCGTGATCGGGTTATTGAAACAGAAGTTTTATTGCTTGATCCAGGCTCTAATGTTTGATTTGTCTAGAGTATAGACAGATCAAACAGTAGAGCCTTGGTGGAACCAAATTGGGTGGTTCCATCAAGGAGGTTGGGTGGTTGGGGAGACCCATGTTGGGTTTTCATTGCAAGGACATATTGTTCTTGATTCTGCGTCGCCTCGACGGTCTGCCCGGTCGAGCCCTGGCTCTGCCCGAATGGGTTCGGCCGCGTATCACGGGTGGATCCGAGGTACGTGTGCCATGCGCAGAGCCATTCCTTACATCCTATGTTCAGCATCAGTTTTAACATCATGCATCAACGCGTCTTCTGGATCAGTTTGAGCATCATGCATCTGAAGGCGCTCGTGTGTTCTTCAGATCCATGGAATTCAACCTGACTGAGAAGCTGAGTTTAAGTATGGTGATGCGTGTACTTCCAATGCCTATCAGTGTTATGAAGAAAATGTTTGCGGAATCTCCCGTGCAACCTTGCTTGGCACTCCTTTTCTGTTGTCATGAGGTCGGATGTTGGTGGAATATGCACTGTTGAAAGAAATTCTTATGATTTTGCTTGCTTGTGCTCAAGAGAAGAGAGAGTGTTCATCTTCGAAATCTATAGGTCGAGCGAGTTTCCCAACATTTTATCAGCTGTTCCACTCCAATAATTTTGTCTTGCTTTGTTTTTACGATTAGCAAGCAAAATACATTTTCAGCTCCTCTCCTGGCAATGGATGGAAACACTGTTGGTGGGAATAGCCTTTGTGCCAATTGTGGTTGGCGATGGAACAAATGTATTGCCACAAGAGAGGAGTTCAAGAAAATTCATTTCATGAACTGGGTGAAACAATATGACCGACCTTTGTGTTGGCTTTGTGCCCAAGTTTGCCCTTTTTTACAAGATGGACAAAAGGATCCGAACGGATTGATCCGACAGTTTGAGTTTTCCTGGGCAACGGCCCGACAATATCGAAGGCTAAAGATGCTGCCACCATGTGACCCTCTTTTTAGCCTAGAGGCGGAGCGAGATTCTGTGTCTCCTGAGATTTGGCGTGATCCCTTTTCGCCGAGAAATGAAAGAACAACATCGACTTCTAACATCTTTGCAGGTATGATCGCAGAAGCTCAGAGGTTGAGGTGTGACATGATGTCACTGAGGACCAGGCTCGATCAAATTTGCCTTGAGTATGGCCGACAGATTTTGTCAAAAAAGAATGAAGAATGTGTTTTCACAAATGAAGAAGCAAGTAATGCAGCATCTTCTTCCGACCGAGGGCAGAATCGTTGGTCAACGCAACAAGATCGACAATCAAGAAGCGGCAATTTCCCGTTGCATCCGCTGCCAACAGCGCATGAATCTGAAAATAGATCGAATGACCGGAACATGTCACATGAATCTGGAAGCTGGACCGAAGACAGTTCTTGGAGAGATTCATCGTCATGGCGGCAAAACAACCGATGGCAATCCTGGAATTCAAACGGAGGTTACTCCTCCCAGGATACTTGGGATGAAACTGAAGGTGCGGGATCATGGAACCGTTCCTATGGAAGGCCACACTATGTTGAAACTTTGCAGAGCTCGAATAATAGCAATGCGAGACAGGCACGACCTCCTCGTGTAGTTTGGGATCCTCCTCCTGCCAATTCTGGTCGTTGATGGCAGAAGGCTGTTCATGTTTAAATGCAAAACTTCAAAAGATTCATTGCTTGCATGGACACAATTTGTGTCTTTTTCTTTTTAACCACAAGAGGTTCGGTCCGAGCAGAATGGAATGTCCGTGATCGGGTAAGTTCGTGATCGGCAGATTTTCCCAGTGAATGCAGACTTGAAATCATCATCACGTTTCAGTAAAGCTGTACTGTGAATGGTGGAGAATTCAGTGAATGTGAAAAAGTGACTTCTGTGCATCTGTGTCAAAAGAGGGGAGGTTCAGAATGTTGATGTGCTTTTAACATTGGAGTTGATACGTATATTTTCTTCTTAATAGTTGAAGCTTTATCAAAATGTTTTGTACAGATTTTTCTGAATTAAGTTGAAACGATGATGCCGTTTCCATATGATGCATAAGCTTCCTCTGATCATTTTACTCGCTAACATTATGGCTCCAGATTTTTCACAGAAAACGTTATCCGCGAGGGTGATCCTTATTCTTTTTGATGGACGTGCGTGTTTGGTCCATTTTCTCTGGCGAATTATTGACCAGAATTGCTTTGGAAGCTGGCCCTGGTGTTACTGGAGCAGACATCAAAAAAATACTCTCTGACCAGCTGGGAATCAATAGGTTCAGACAAGTGTTGTATTCGAAGGATGGAACACAGATTCTAAATGGAGAAGTCTTAAACCAAATTGAGCATTATGTGCATTTGCTGGTCAAAGGAACCGGGCACGTTTTGTGCAACGAGTCCCAGCGAAGTCAAATGGTTGAAGCTTGTTCGGCTAATAAACTGCAGATCCTGGAACTGCTATTGTACGAGCATCTTGACCCAAACACTACAGACGCATATGGCAGAACCCTACTAGAATTGGCAGCTGGCGGAGATCATCTGGACGTAGGCAATCTTTTATTGGAGGCTGGTGCTGAAGCAGAGACAAAATCAGCCATAAGAACTCCTCTTTTGACAGCCACCAGAATGGGCAACACCGAATTCGTGAACCTTCTGTTGCATGCTAATGCAAATCCTAATCGTTGCTACTGTGTTCGACCTGGATTTCAAAAATGTTGGACACCTTTGATTTGTGCTGTTCGCCACGACGTGGATTACGATTACGGACATGCAACTATCGTTCCCATGCTCATTAAAGCGGGAGCAGACGTGAACTACAGCTGTGATAGCATGCCACCCTTGGTTGCTGCAGTCGAGCAGTCGAGTTATCACATCATGTGGTACCTGCTTCAAGCTCAGGCAAATCCGAATGTCACGAATCGCAATTTGAAGCCAGTTTTGCATATTGCAGTCAAAAGAAACGATCCTACTGCTATGGAAATGTTGCTTCAGAACTCTGCTGATATAGAATTGAGAGATGCTCAGAATCGATCAGCCGAGCAGCTTGCAGCCAGTGCTGCTTTGAGAGAAATGCAAGGAATGCTTTCTCGTAGACATTTGCGGCAACATCATTAGGAATGAAATCATTCCGTACAGAAGAAAATTGCTCAAGCTTCGGTGGAAAAACAAAACTCTTTCTGAGGACGATGAACGCATTTCGTTGCTGAATGATAAGTTAACAATTTCTGTTTCACAATGCTTGTTGTTGTTTCATTGGAATTTGCTTGTTTCGGGTCAAGTCAGCTCTACAAGCTGTGCCTAAGGATCAGACAGATAGACATAATGCATAGGCAGATCAATTTCATATTTTTCAGTGTATTATGAACCCAAAGGGATCAGAGCTTTATCAAATAGAAATGGAAAAACATGTATCAAGGTCAGCTGTTGTAGAAACCTTTCTATCAGCTATGGTTAGAACCAATGCGCAATGTTAGACAATATATCTCATTCAAGGTATTTTTCTCATTCTGTGGCAATGTCGTGGCAGAGTCCGTGATCGGGTGTGTTCGTGATCGGAGCATGAATCTGTCAACAGCAGATGGAGGCCAATGCGCTAATTGTCGTTGGACATGGGAAATACCACTTTATACCAAAAGGGACTACGATGGTACAGATTTCTTCGTTTGGCACAAAAATCGAGACAGGTACTTGTGCTATCTGTGCGCGCAGTCATGCCCAGATTTGCACGAGAAAAATCCAAAGAGTTTACCTTACACCAGTTATCAAGAATGTCATGAGTACCGCAGGAACCACATGAAGCCACCGCGTGACCAAAATGGTGACACCTGGGACAAACATTTCCGTGAGTTTTGGCAAGATCCTTGGGGATTGGATGAAACAGCTTCAGTGGCAAATGTTTCAGATTCGAATGCTCTGCAAACTGGAATTGCACAATTGGAGAGTGTTCTGAGTGAGCTACAGTCAGAGCTTTCTGCTCTCTCTGAAAAGTTAGAAAACTTCAAACAAACAATCAGGCTGACGAGCGCCACTCAAATTTAATTTCCTGACTCTTTCACAGAGTAATCCACTTAATGTGGTGCTTGGGACTGTGCATGCTATTCTTGGTGCGTCTGTTGATTTTCACCAAGGGTCATATGCAGATAAGAGCAATTTGCAGATACTGGTCTGTGCTGTCAAAAAAACAGATGCTAGCCACGTCATTGCTTTACATCGTCGTTGTCAATTTAGGATTATCATCTCTTAAATGTGATTTGCATTCAGTTTTTTCTCTATGGCAATTTTGTTTTGAACATCTCCAAGTGTTTTGATTTTTGTTTTCCTAGATAGGTCGAATCATAAGGCACGAGACATTGGTCATGATGGAAACATCAAGCGGCAATCGCATTTGAAGTCGCTGTCTCGGCTCGAGTTTGCCATTTGTGTTTGAGCTTTTGAAATGCTCATTCGTGGTTACAAGAGAACTTTTCGTGACTTCAGTACTGCAGAGAACAAGGCGAGGAAAAGACGCGATTGCAATGCTTGGTCTAACCACATGGATGATATCAATTCGGATGACAATCGTTCAGAGGAAGATTGGAAATCAGACAATCCCGAAGAAGATTTGCAGCAAATCAGTGCCAAACACTACATGACAGACGAACTTGCTTCCAGATGGTACAGAATGATGTTGAAGACAGTCGAGCTTCTGACAGATGATTGTCTTGCAGTTCTGCCTTCTTACTTTGGAGGACCCAGACAAGCTCGTTTATCTCGTGAGATCGAATTGACATCTGTGGTTCAGAAGCTGCAAGATTTGAGCTCCGACATTGTCGACATGTGCAACGATAAATTACTTTCAAAAAAACAGTCTGAGGCATTGACTGAAAGAATCCGCAAAAAACGCAAACTTCTGAAAGGCCTGCTGTTCTTGGACTCGCTTCTATTTTTGGAAAGTACATTCGAAGGAGTTTTTCTGTCATGTTTTAGCTCTCCGAGTATACCGAGGTCTTCTATACGCAATTATATGAAGCGTTTCAGCATGAATTTAAACACCTTGCAGACTTTATTGGAAAACGGCTGTCTCCTTGAGAGTGAGATCGTGCAGCGTGGATGGCTCGTTCTCAATTTCGATGCAATGCCGGATGAGGTGTTTGCAGAGATGATCGAAAATAAACAACGGGAGCCCACTTATGTTGCTCTCAAAGATATGTTTAGAATACATTTTCTGGATGTTCCTCTATTAGCTGCAGAGGCAGGGCACGATGTGTGTCTACGCTTCAATTTCATTCCCAACGCATTACAAGAAGTTGTGAAGCAAGCCAAAGAGCGCGGTTCGCACACTCCAGAAAGGCGTGTATATTCTTGGTTGCTCCAATTAATTCATTTCGAGAACGAGAGAAAGAGCAGGATTCGAGTGCATGATGAAGAAGAATTAAAAATTTCAATTTTGGGAGTTCCATATGACAATTCAATGGCTCACAAGAACCGTATGGCATTGGACAACTACTAAATAGTGGCTGTCTTTTGTTCGCGTTTTTAAAACACGACTGCCTGACAAAACAAAGAGCCCTGCTGTTTTATCAGTCATGATGTTTACTTGTTGTCACAGCACCATTTACATATTCACCTGTCGTTTACATTTTATGTCAAGCTGTGCTAGTCACATTGTCAAAATCGACAAGGGAAACGATGAGAAACAACAATGCAGACACCTACTGCTGATTCCTGCACTGTCAGTTGATCCGTGATCGGGATCGTTCGTGATCGGGTAGTAAACTGACTTTGCTATGATTAATTGAGTTTAGTGGCTTGTGCATAAATCTATTGAACAATTTCATTAGCATTTGCTTTAGCTTGTTTGCTAACCTCTCTCGAAATGGCAATGCCTCTCGCTTGGCCTGAAATTGCTCATACAGCAGAAGATGTGCTGCAGTTCTGCAAGATGATTGGCAGAGGAAGTAACTACACTCAGATTGATGATCTGTCACGGAATTTGGAAAAGGGGTCTACAACACACTCTTGTTTGTTCCAGATGAGCAGCTCAAGTCCGACAGACATCTTGAACGAGATTCCGATGCTTGGCCAACAAGTTTTTGACATGAAGCTGGACGAAGAGAGAAAAGTCAACCCTCAGAATCCTGCGAAAACTGTGCAGATCAGCAACAACAGGGTGGTGTATTATGAAAGTGCCTCCATAAACAGAGGATCGTGTCAATGTATATTTTCCTTTGGAGGCGAGAACAAGCAGGAAAGAGTTCGTACTACCTATGCTGCACGACATTCGATGCAGGGATTGGCCATACAGCAGTTCTTTGAAAAACATTTCCTTCAAGACAATGCGTCTTCTTGGTATAGCCGATCTGGAAGTTTCTCGACAGTAATTTGGGTCTATTTGCTTATGTATGTATAATGTTTCTTATTATTCTTATTTTTTAAGACAAAGGCATCATTATAATTTAATCTTTTGGTCCGGCTGAGGTTTTCATTTGCTGATCAACCGCTACACGTACAACAAGAATCATGGAATCTCTTTTCACGATGACATTAAAGAAGGATATGATGTGGACAAAGATCCCATTACTTCTTTCTCCTGCCGACTCGGGTCTTTGCTGGTTATCATCTCCAGCAGAGCACCAGAGAAACAAGAGAAGACCGAGGGCAAACGTGCGTTTGTTGTGTATCAGCCTCCGGGAACAATTCTTGTGATGGGCGGCAAGTTTCAGAGAGCTTACAAACATGGTGTACCAAGTTTTCAGGAGATCAAAGAGCTTCTTGCTTGTGCAGACGACTTGACTACTTGGGACGGTGTGAAACTAAAATTGGAGTGGTTTTCGAATTCGAAAGACTTGATGCGACAGGAAGTTAGACGTATTGACGCCTTGAATCTGGTCAACGAGCAAGACGCACGTTGGAACGTCACAATGCGATGGGTGAGAAATCATTCACAGCCTTTCTGTCCTCTAAATCCCCGACTCTTGGCAAATATCAGTCGACTGGATGAAGAAAATCATCAGCGGAGGAATCAGCTGAAGCAGCTGAAACTGTTGAACCCGGTATTGCAGAAAAAAACTGCAGAGCCAAAGGCAAAGGCCGCTAGCCCGGCATTTGCTTGGAACCCGCCCGGAGGAAACAGAGCTCGTCCAAGCAAAAGCGGAACACAGGATGTGAATCCGGGGAGGGAAACCGAGGAGAAAGAATCGGAGAAAGATTCAGAAAAGGAATTAAATGAGATATTTGACTTCGTTTCTATTATTTCTGATGCCCTGGAGCTGCAGATATTATCAGACGATCAGATGATTGGCATGGCATTGTGTGCCAGCCAGCAAATTCGCAAACATCGTCTCTCCACATTTCAGAAACAGTACAATCTTGGTTACAATTTGTACAACAAGATTTCGGCAGCGAATATGAAAGTGAAAGAGGATTTAGACCCGTTACTCGAGGCTGTAGATCGGAAACTGAGGAGATTGAAAAACTTGCAGATGCTTATTGAGCTTTTGTGGTTGGACAGCGAAGGTCAGGGCAATTTCATGAGCTGTACTACTCTGAACCAGCAGCACGAGTTCAACAAGTCAAATGATCATCTGGATCGGGTTGTGATGTCCTTCTTTGACTTGAACGAATGCTTGCCTGTGGACGGCTTTTTGAGCTGGGATCACATGATTGATGAAGGATGGCTGGTGTTCAATTTCGACACTTTACAGGACAATCGAAAACCCAAAGCGGAGGTAACAAAATCGAAGAAAGGTTCACCGGTCGTAGCTGATGTCACAATGACAGGGATCGTCAAAGTGAGCCAATTTGACATCCTGTATATCAAGAGAGAAAATATTTTGCCAGAGCAATTCCCTTTGCGAGTGACATTTCTTGCTGATGCATCAAAGAATGTTGCTGCAAAGTGCAAGGACAAGCAATCTTTGAGCAGTCAGGAACAATTGAAACTGTGGATGCAACAGCTGATGAACTTCGTCGCGGAATTGGAGGAAGAAAAAGGTTTCAGTCCACTTTTAGATCGAAAAGGATTCATGAAAACCTGCAAAATCGTACTGTGGACACTTCCTCTCTCTGACGCTCTGGAATATAAGAATAAGAAGCAAAAGAAAGCTTCGAATACTCGCGGTTGAGGTCATAAAATGCCTACAAAGCCCAAAGACGTATTGTCTCACCGAATCGATCGTGATCTCTCCGAGAAAAATGCGCCTGGATTGTTGCGATTTGTGTGGTATATGAAATACGGCATTGTCTGGAAATAGTGTTGTCCTTGGTTTACATGATCTTGTTTTGATCATGTATGGCAACTAGATAGATATTATACTCAACTTGTCTCGTCTAAAATGTTTATATGTTTTTTCCACTGCAGCCTTTTCGAGTTTCATTCTTCTGAGAGTACTTCTGCCATGTCCGTTCAAGATCAAGCTTCCAAGAAGGAGGAGTTTTGAAGCTGTTTTTGGCTTCAAGAATGGTTCTGATTCGTGTAATTTATTCTGGTCACCCAATAGTAGTAGCATTTTTGCTATCATTTTATCATGAATTCTTCTTTTTTGTGATCAGTATGTTTTTTTGTTTTTTTTAGTTTTTTTTAACATCTTGGACATTTTTGTTTACTCACATGTTCAGCAGAACAAATGTAAACTCACATATGTATATATATATATAAATATCTATATATTCAAGGATATATAATGTTAATATAAAGTATCTTATTCGAAAAACTACGAACTAACTTTTTTCGTCCGTTTCTTTTACAATTCCACGTACATCGTTAATTCGTTAAGTCGTTAAGTCCTTTTTTTCTAAAGAGACATACGATTTAAAAAAACAACAACTTTACTGTTAATGACTTCATGAATTAATGCATTTTTATATGTATAAAAACAATATTGAGATTATATATCTTCTTACATAATATATATATAGTATTATTACCCTGTAGGAAATTCGACATCTGGAGAAGATCATCAACAACATGCGACAAAGGCTTTACAGAGCTTCAAAAAGACAAAAATGCTCATGGAACTCGACGGAGAGATCTCGCCTTGTTGCTGTGTCAATCTATGTGCAATCGAATTACTCTGATGAAACAGTGATGCAGTATCTACTCAAAAAGCGTGGCAAAAGATCAGTTGGGTACGACGAGAAAGCTGAGGACGATTGTCGTTTTTCTCCTATTCGTGACTGGTTTTTGAATGTTCCGTTCAACGTTCTTGAAGAGATTGCCTTGCATCCACTCTCCAAAAAAAATATTTGCATATTTCAAGAAGCCAGGCGCTTCATCACAGAGATGCAAACTTGTCTGTGGCTGGAGAAAGAGAACATGGAGAAGGGACGAACTGTATCGTCTGTGCAGCTGGTGCAATATTACTTTGACCAACTGAAGAGAAATGAACATGAGAGTTGTGACGACCAATGTCATCCGGTAGTAGTTGATTATCCACTTGAAAACAAGTCTGGAGGAAGAGGCATCAGGGTCGTGAATACGATGAGGAAGTGGTGCTGCAGATTTAAGAAGAGATGGCAAGTCAGACACGGTCAAATGATGGAACGCGAATTCATGCCTCCATCAGAACTCAAAGAAAAGGCTCGAACAAATAGTACATTTTTAGGTTCCTCTTTTATTTCTTTTTTTACCTCAAATAAATAGAATCATTACATTGAAACCTTTGAAGCATAAAAATAGTAATATTTTGAAGCCGAATTCGGGCCTCAAAAAACTGAATGTAATTTGGCAGCAAACATGTTTTTGAATCATCATTCAGGTTCAAACCTTCTGGCAATGGTTCGATTATTTGTGCGAGCAAGCACGTCATGATGGCAAAGAAATTTGTCTCATCAACATCGATGAGACATCCATTCATCGATGTGCACTACGATCGAAGGGCTACGTGACCAAAAAAAACAAATATGGGTCGACCTCCAGCTCGCTTTATCAATCGCAGTTTGAAACGTGGCACTGCAACACATGTGGCTGCAATCAGTCACCTGCCACAAATTCAGGCTTTACTGCCACAGTTCGTATTGTTAAACAAACGAACCTTTAGAGAGAAAGATATACCAGATAATGTCCCACCGGGATTGAGATTTATTCGTGACATATCAGGATGGAACACGGCTCAGAAAATGGTTGTGATATTGGAGAACATAGCAAAATCACTCATTTCGTGTACAAAAGATCATCAAATCATTATTTTGCTAGATGTAGCTCCATGTCACATTGATGCATCGGTGATTTCAGCTGCAAACAGACTGAATTTGTGGCTGATATATGTTCCTGCAAGGTTAACCTTCATGTTACAACCATTGGATGTTTCTTGTTTACAAGCGTACAAATCAGTTTTACATCAACTCTTTATGGAGAGGCAAGACAACGATGGCACCTTGCGAACCAAAGAATGGTTTAATGTATTGAGCAGCCTAAACAAGTTGTTTTGGCGAGGAAGGAATTGGAAAACAGCGTTTCACAACGTGGGACTGTTAGGCCAAGCCAAATCCATAAGTGATGAATTACGACAGCTTGGAGTTACTCGTCTAACAGACAGTCCTACAGCTTTGCCTTCCGAAACCCAATTGCAAGAAATCTGGCCTCGTCGAAAGACGATTCCATTTAAGTCATTATTCTGGTTACCAGCAAAGCTGAAACCAGTTGAAATCGATTGAATCGAGGTTTCAAAATGGTATATTTTACCTAATATCATTAATTAATTCATAAAGCATTAAGTCTTTTTTTTCTAAATAGAATACATCTAATAAAAGACAAAACTTAACGACTTAACGGCTTTACGAATTAACGAAGATTTTGAATATGTACGCAAAAGCTTCGATTCTGCAACAAAGTATTCAGCAAAGCTGAACGCGATCTAATGCTTTTAAATTGTAACCAAAAAGTTGCGAGAATGTTGTCGGACATGTGATGAATCTGTTCATATACTTGCCTTGTGTTTGCATTGCAACATGGCATGGTTACAATTCGCCACACAGTAGTAGCATTTTTGCTATCATTTTATCATGAATTCTTCTTTTTTGTGATCAGTATGTTTTTTGTTTTTTTTAACATCTTGGACATTTTTGTTTACTCACATGTTCAGCAGAACAAATGTAAACTCACATATGTATATATATATATATTTATATATTCAAGGATATATAATGTTAATATAAAGTATATTCGAAAAACTACGAACTAACTTTTTTTCGTCCGTTTCTTTTACAATTCCACGTACATCGTTAATTCGTTAAGTCGTTAAGTCCTTTTTTTTCTAAAGAGACATACGATTTAAAAAAAAACAACTTTACTGTTAATGACTTCATGAATTAATGCATTTTTATATGTATAAAAACAATATTGAGATTATATATCTTCTTACATAATATATATATAGTATTATTACCCTGTAGGAAATTCGACATCTGGAGAAGATCATCAACAACATGCGACAAAGGCTTTACAGAGCTTCAAAAAGACAAAAATGCTCATGGAATTCGACGGAGAGATCTCGCCTTGTTGCTGTGTCAATCTATGTGCAATCGAATTACTCTGATGAAACAGTGATGCAGTATCTACTCAAAAAGCGTGGCAAAAGATCAGTTGGGTACGACGAGAAAGCTGAGGACGATTGTCGTTTTTCTCCTATTCGTGACTGGTTTTTGAATGTTCCGTTCAACGTTCTTGAAGAGATTGCCTTGCATCCACTCTCCAAAAAAAATATTTGCATATTTCAAGAAGCCAGGCGCTTCATCACAGAGATGCAAACTTGTCTGTGGCTGGAGAAAGAGAACATGGAGAAGGGACGAACTGTATCGTCTGTGCAGCTGGTGCAATATTACTTTGACCAACTGAAGAGAAATGAACATGAGAGTTGCGACCAATGTCATCCGGTAGTAGTTGATTATCCACTTGAAAACAAGTCTGGAGGAAGAGGCATCAGGGTCGTGAATACGATGAGGAAGTGGTGCTGCAGATTTAAGAAGAGATGGCAAGTCAGACACGGTCAAATGATGGAACGCGAATTCATGCCTCCATCAGAACTCAAAGAAAAGGCTCGAACAAATAGTACATTTTTAGGTTCCTCTTTTATTTCTTTTTTTACCTCAAATAAATAGAATCATTACATTGAAACCTTTGAAGCATAAAAATAGTAATATTTTGAAGCCGAATTCGGGCCTCAAAAAACTGAATGTAATTTGGCAGCAAACATGTTTTTGAATCATCATTCAGGTTCAAACCTTCTGGCAATGGTTCGATTATTTGTGCGAGCAAGCACGTCATGATGGCAAAGAAATTTGTCTCATCAACATCGATGAGACATCCATTCATCGATGTGCACTACGATCGAAGGGCTACGTGACCAAAAAAAACAAATATGGGTCGACCTCCAGCTCGCTTTATCAATCGCAGTTTGAAACGTGGCACTGCAACACATGTGGCTGCAATCAGTCACCTGCCACAAATTCAGGCTTTACTGCCACAGTTCGTATTGTTAAACAAACGAACCTTTAGAGAGAAAGATATACCAGATAATGTCCCACCGGGATTGAGATTTATTCGTGACATATCAGGATGGAACACGGCTCAGAAAATGGTTGTGATATTGGAGAACATAGCAAAATCACTCATTTCGTGTACAAAAGATCATCAAATCATTATTTTGCTAGATGTAGCTCCATGTCACATTGATGCATCGGTGATTTCAGCTGCAAACAGACTGAATTTGTGGCTGATATATGTTCCTGCAAGGTTAACCTTCATGTTACAACCATTGGATGTTTCTTGTTTACAAGCGTACAAATCAGTTTTACATCAACTCTTTATGGAGAGGCAAGACAACGATGGCACCTTGCGAACCAAAGAATGGTTTAATGTATTGAGCAGCCTAAACAAGTTGTTTTGGCGAGGAAGGAATTGGAAAACAGCGTTTCACAACGTGGGACTGTTAGGCCAAGCCAAATCCATAAGTGATGAATTACGACAGCTTGGAGTTACTCGTCTAACAGACAGTCCTACAGCTTTGCCTTCCGAAACCCAATTGCAAGAAATCTGGCCTCGTCGAAAGACGATTCCATTTAAGTCATTATTCTGGTTACCAGCAAAGCTGAAACCAGTTGAAATCGATTGAATCGAGGTTTCAAAATGGTATATTTTACCTAATATCATTAATTAATTCATAAAGCATTAAGTCTTTTTTTTCTAAATAGAATACATCTAATAAAAAACAAAACTTAACGACTTAACGGCTTTACGAATTAACGAAGATTTTGAATATGTACGCAAAAGCTTCGATTCTGCAACAAAGTATTCAGCAAAGCTGAACGCGATCTAATGCTTTTAAATTGTAACCAAAAAGTTGCGAGAATGTTGTCGGACATGTGATGAATCTGTTCATATACTTGCCTTGTGTTTGCATTGCAACATGGCATGGTTACAATTCGCCACACAATCGGGGGAACAAAATCAAATGACAGAAATTTGGCTTACAGTTGATAGCTGCTTTTGGACCTCGCAGGCATCTCTCGACTCATTCTGTATGGCTAGTTCGGCAGCGGCGAAGCCACGAGCCCGTCCTCGCAAAGTCATTGCGATCCAAGACCTTGATGCACTAAAAGCCAAAAAGCAACAGCTAAAACAAGATCTCAAAGAGATGAATAAAACGGTGAAGGTGCAACAGCAGAAGAAAAGACGTCTCATGAAAGCTGCTCACAATTTGCACGATGAGGACCTTTTATGGCTTCTACGTGAACGTCAAACCCAACGAAGTGAAGACCCTAATTCTGCTCAGGATCAAAATGGAGATGCGGCTGAAGATTTATCTGCTGAGAATGTCGAGCCCAATGAGACAGTGAATAGTGAGGAACATGTGAACAGAACCAGTGACGGTGCTCAATCGAATGAGTGAGTGCTGGCAATCAAAGAATCTCCAGTCAGCTATCAAAGAGTAGTCAGCTTTGTCTTGCGTTACCTCTTTAAGTCTTCTCACATCAACTCCCAATGGACGATTGATGCACTTCTCTTGTCAGCAGAATCGATGATCGAGGATTGTTCGTGATTTGTCCGCAGAGAAGAGACATGATTTCTCTTGCTTTTCAAAACCAGAACTGAGTCGTCGCTTGCATGAATAGCAAAAAGAGCTTGAGCGTTGCACTGCGTGTCATTAATCTCGTAACATTTGAATGGTTGTGAAAAAATATGCTATCTCGTGTACGACGTGTCTTTTGGCTTCAGGTCCTGAAATTTGAATGATTATGCTTAATATCCTCTTTTCCATTATTTGTTTTCCATTATTCACTCGTTCTACAATTATACAATTGTTTCGTAGGAACGTATTTCTCTTGCCTGCAGAGTCGAAGATCGGTTCGTCCGTGATTTGGTTGCAGACAAGAGACATAACACACTTTTTTTGTTTCAAAAACAAACAGACATGCAGCAAACAATTATATTTGCAAAATATGCATTTCTTCGTAGAAAGACGTTTAAAACAAGAACTTGGAGCTTGTAGAACCTACAAACATGAGTCCAGCAGATGCCGGTTGCTTGGTCTCTCTAATCAAAAACTTGGAGCTGCAATTATCACTGGGTGACGTGGAGGAACTGGTGAAGTTAATGAAAAACATCTCCAATGAGATCACCAGAGAGACTGGAGCCACTACAAAACCACGAAATTCAGTTCGAGCATCATTGAGCAAGAATGTGGACCAAACTAAATTTGGTAGCTTGGCCAATGCCTTCGCAATCATTTTTGTCGAAGTGTTCGAAGTGGGTACTTTGGCTGCCTGCGATTGGGAGATCATCGAAACTGCACTGGAATGCATTGTTGCAGCAAAGCATGTGAGAGACTTCGAGCTCTTGGACTGGGTCCAAGAGGAGGAAGCGAGAAAAGCTAGGGAAGCAGAGGCGCTGAAGGAGAAAGAAAATGCTGAGAAGGCTGAACAGGAGAAACTCAAACAACAGCACATCATGCGTCTGCAAGAGATCAGAGAGGTCAAAAAACAATGCGAACGTGATGAAGCCAAACTTGTGGCGACATGTCGAGAATCTTCCAGCTCGCACTATGTGGATGGAGCTCCCAAACCAGCTGATTTATTCCGAGGAGACACACCCGAGATGAAAAAGCCGAAAAACGACTATCATGCCAAGGTCCAACCCAGATATGAAGTATCTCCAGGAAAGAAAAGGTGGATGAACGGAAAATGGTACAGACCTGAAGAAATTGAATTGTTTGAAAAATGTCGCAGAGAGACGGAAGCAAGAATAGCAGCTAATAGGGCTGCAGCTTTGGCCCGCAGAGATGCCATGGCACAGCAGAAACGATGAGGACAGAAGGATACCACAAAGAGACGGCATATGCTTGAAATGTTTCAAAAGGATTAGTTAGGGGGCTTGATCATGGGATGATCATCTTCTCAGAAGTATTTTCTCAGCATTCGGGCAGAAAAAGAAAGACCGGATTGTAATTCATTTCAATGTTTTACTCATCAGATTGAGAAAAGTGACTCCAATTCTTCATTCTTCCTCGTTCGGCTCAAGGAGATGTTCTGTGCAATTTTTCTTTTATTTGATTCAGGAAATCAAATGCGTACTTAACACAAGATGCAACTATGCGCTTTTATGTTATCAACGATCTCAAGAAGTCGTCCTTTATCATTTCAACTAGAAAGCAGCAGACTGTTTTTATTGGCATTACGCAGCATTGCTCTATTCGCCATGCCACATCTTATGACATCTAAGTTACCAAGCGGCACGCCAGAATCTGCCAGATCATTCATTGGTTTGGTGAAACTCTTGAAGAAGCAGCTTACACTGGAGGATGTACACCAGTTGGCAGTTTTATCCAAGTCCATGAAGGAGGTTACAACAATTTGGCAAAAACTTCTGTCCGACAATGGGAACGTACTGCCTCCAGAGTGGAACGCAGAAGAAGATTTGAGAAATGTGCAACATCGCTGTGATGACACACTCTTCAGTCAGGTTGGGAAAGCTCTAGCAACAGTGTTGACCGAATTGTTGCAGGTGATTGACCTCGACATTGAGAATCTGACTGACATTGTGGAACATCTCGACAACATGTCATCAACCAAGCAGAATTTGAACAATGGTTCAGCACTGGAAAAAAGAAAATTGGAATCTTGTCAGAGCCAAGATGACATTAGACGACAGAGCCTGAAACAGCTGCGGGCACTGCGACAGAAAAGAGAAGCTGTTGAAGACGAAGAAAAACAGATTGAAGCACTCATTGCCGACATTGACAAACGTCAGAACAGTGCTAAGTTCTCCAGTACAGCAGCAAGCAAATTTGCTGAAACTGTTCCCAATAGATGCATTGATTCACAAACTCGTGCTCGAATTTTTATGGAAGAATATCAAAAAAGGAAGCTGAGCATACCAGCCCAGGAATCAACAGAGACAATAAAGATTGGAGATCAGATGTGGAGTCCAACGCAACTGTTCGAAAGATGCAAGCTTTTGAAAGACGAAAAAGATCGAGCTTTTTCTGAAAAAAAAGAACAAGAAAAAAGGTTGCTCCAAGAGACTATTAAAACAAACAGACTAATTGCATTGGCCAAAAAAAAGGCCAGAATATTCCAAGCGCATCTGGATGATACATTTGCTTTTTTCAAATAACGGGGTTATGTACACAATTTCTCGTGTCAATGTGGGTGAGACAATACGTCTGCATCAGATGTAGTTGTCTCTGTATGTTCGACCTGGGGCGTAGAAGAAAAAGAGGTCGTCGACAGTAGAAGTTCATAAGCAATATTTGGCTTGCATGTAATTGGAAATTCTTAGCTTTCTTAGTGTTCTGCTATTCATCAAACCTTGAGTCACGCTTTGTTGATATATTGTTGTGGATTTGTTCTTGAATTAAACCTGAATCATGCAACTTCATGCGCTCACTTTATCACGAACATTTCCGACACATTTCCCCGCCGTCGTTTTTCGTCTCGAAGGCAGCACGTTCATTTTGCATGTGATTTGTCACGGATGACTTCTGCTAATTCTCGTCACCGTGCATGTTGTCATATGTGGACCTTCACAACGCCACAAGATTATTTGCAGAATGCAGCTGAACGAAAGGATCAGTGTCAGTATGTTCCAGAAGATTTCTCGAGGAACGACATATGTGAAATGTTTCGAACTGCTATGTCGGAACTTGGACACGGCTCCATTCTAGAGCAACTCGTTGTGGTCAAAGAGCCACTACTCAACCATTACGGATTTCAATTTCGTGTTATTTTCAAGACGAAAACTTCTTTTGCGAGTGACGACATTAATACACTGCTTGCCCAAAAAAGGGGATGCCGAGGTTCCATGAGCCATCCTGAGAAAAATTGGCGAAGTCTTGTACAGTATGTTCTGGATTGCAAAACAAAGCGAAAAGAGGTGGCCGAAGACAAGATCCCTTTATTTTGGCCGCACATGTGGCAGACCAAGAGTCAGGTGGTTCAGCAATGGCAGGATCAAGCAATGTCGCATAAACAGTGCACATCGAAACGAGGAAAACCAACCTTGGAGCAGCGACAGCTGAAGAGAAGAAGGACGCTGAAATTTGCGGATTTCGTGGAGATTGCAAAACAAAATGGCATCACCAATGAAAACGAGTTTTGGAAAATTGCTGGCAGAGAAAAAGATGCAGGTAACCATGCCTTGTGGAACTATGGAGGCAAAGTCATCGTCAGCCAGAAAATCTCCAAGATGTTACAAATGAAGAGCGAGTGATTGCGAGCACATTGTCTAGTAATTCAGGCAAGTCCTGTGATCGAATGAAGATCACCATGCATTCTTTTGCACAAACTGCATTGTGAGCGCAAGAAAAATTAACGCGCAGCATAGTGAAACAGCATATTTGAAACATTTTGCATAAGCTTAGAACTGAACTATGATCCGTCTTTGCAGCACGGCAGTTCAAACAGAATATCGCATTCACATTCGCATCATCCAGACATATTTATACGATATAATATATATATACATCGGAAACAATAATACAAACAGCGATTCTACTGAATTGAAGCAATACTTGAGTTGAAAACTCATGATGAATTATGGCAACAAAGTTGAATTCGTTTGGAAGTTGTGAAACAACTTTCTTGCAAACCAAAAACACCTTTTCTCACGTCAAAAAAAAACTGAAGAAACAAGTTTTATGTTGGTAAGACCAACTGTGCGTTGCAAGCAAAGTGCTTGCTCTTTTTCATGACGTTTTTACACACGTGATGTTTCAGGTTCAAAACAGAAACACCTTTTTCTATGCAAGATCTCAAGGTCGTTTCTCCAGACGTTGTTTTGTTGTCACAACCGTTTCTGCGACGAAAGAGGGGTTAAATTTAACCCCCTTTTATGACACTAAGAGTTTAAAATCAATCTGTGAATTTGATTCAATGTATGTCCGGTATTTTACAAGTCAAGGGCGGGTGTGGAGGGTTTCAAAACCTTTTTCCAATTTTTGTCACTGGGCTCTGGTATAATCCGTGTACCAGGTTCGAGTGGCCACACCTTTTGTACAACATCCCATGGATCTTCGACAAGTGCCTTCATTGTCAACGCAGCAGCTAGTGGCTTTCGCCCTTGCAATTTTGTGCGAGCTGGCCAAACGTGCGGGCATTCCCCTCACGGTGTCAGCAGACATCGGGGACCCTGAAGCAGCTGATGACAGTGGAAGATCCCCAGGTGACCCAACGGTTGCATCGGCAACATCCTCACACGAAGCTTCAGCGTCGACCCCAGCACCAACCATCCCAGCGCCAACTACACCAACAGGTCCTCGACAAGGGTGCTGTTTTCTATGTCCTGTGCGTGGTTGCAACAATCTGTGCTGCAAAACCTCACCTCACCAGCAGCATGTATGCTCATATCACAGCTGGTACTAATCCAACATTGGCCCCGATCACTGAGAAAGATTGGGCAGCACTTCAGACTGCTACTCATATCCATCTCTTTTTGGACTATGCGGTTTTTGTGCTGGACTGGTGCTGGGGCATTCCAACAGTTTCGACAGCGACTCCGAGTGAGCACACAGTGGAAAAAGGGGAGAAAGGTAGCTATTCAGCTCTTTTTGAGCACATCCGATTTTGTGAACGATCTATGAAGAGGTCTGCATTGAAATATTCTTGGCAGCTTGGCTTCATGGCAGATCGGGACCAGTCAACACATCCGAAAGGACTACTGGGTATGGCTCCAACTTTGCCTGCTGCTGTTCTCTGTTCAGACGTTGCAGAAGCAGCTCATGAAGAGCTAGCGAGTGGATTTGGCGACCATTGCAGGAGTTTCTACTGCAAGTTGCCTGAAGTGGAATGGGATGTCCATCCTGACTCGCAATACGGTGTTCCCATGGTCGAGTGGCATAAAATTGTGTTGGCTGATCCGATTTCGTTTCATGTTTGTGGTATGCATTTTCAATCGTTAAAAACGGTGCTTCAACGAGGCAAGCTTCAGGATGACCTCAGAAATGTGTTCTCATGCAAGAGCACTTCAACACTTCATGGCAAGACTGGACCTATGATGCGATTTTTGCGTCTTTGTGCAGGTAAGCAACCGAGAGTTTTTCTTATCACAGAAGAGGTCGTGTATGCCTTCATGCAACATGTGGAACGGTCTGCAGGGCCGACCTTGTTGAGGAGTTATCTTAGCTCCTTGGGGTTTGCGTTGCACGTGGTCGGTTTCGTAGGTGCCAAACGAGGTTTGCACTCACGGTGCTTCAAATACTTGGCCGACAAGTGTTTCCTGCAGCAGAAGAAGACGACATCCAGGTTGCCACAGACTGTGCAAGAGCTGACAACTCCGGAAGAAACTGTTCTTGGCTACCAAGCTCGTGGCCTTCCAGACAGGAGACTTATGGGGTACCATGTTGCTGATAAGATGTCGACGATGCTCATTTATGGCAAGGACAACACCAGTGCAGGACTTCGTGAAATCGATGTGATTCTTGATGCAATCAGGCAGGGTGAATTTTTGCCCGACGCAAAGCGAGCTGAGATGTTTCCTTATGCTGATAATGCTGCAAAGCGTTTGGAGGACCAAGACCAAAGCGGTTTTGATGGTTACTGTTCTGGAAGCTCCTCAGAGGACTCTGCAGATGAGGACCAACCTGACCACCTGGCTCATGAAACAGCTGAGAATGTGGTCCTTGGCAAGTGGGATGCAGGTGTGGACATCGACAAGCTGCCCAACCAAGAAGTTTACTTCAGGCACCCTTTGGCGAGGACAATTCGCGTCCAAGAGGACGAATCGGGTATCGGGTTCACTTGTGGTAGGGACATCTCAAAGAGCTACATTCCACTTGAGTCTGGACCTCAGTCGCTTCTACCAATTGCAAACAATGCATTGCCAGATTCAGAAAGGCACATGTATGATGACTGACATGTTGTCGCGTGAAGTTGAAAAAGATCTGCAGCCTTTTTGAATGAATATCGAAGCAGGGAACGTTCGTCGAATGTAGCGACCTGAGTTTTAACATTTCTTTCACTGGTGTGATTGATGCAACATTCCCATGTTTGTGATGTCGGCACGTTTCTTGGAATTTTGCCACGCCATACATGTTCATATCAAACATCATATGTCAGATTGGGAAATCTGACCAATGAGCGGCTTGAAGGGAAATGCTCCTTTGGACAGTGTCGGCTCCAAGCGTCACTTTCAGAAAAACCCAAGCAGTTTGCCAAGTTTTTCATGAGCATGTTTTCCGAGTTTCGAATTTCAAATATTTAGAGAGATTCAGGTTTTGTCATGTCTTTCCTTCCATGTGCATTGCATCAAGTCTGAAAAGAACTCCCTGCGGTCCGTATCCATGTCATTTGCTGACAGCGTGCCAGTTTTCAGAGACAGGGCTGCATCAGCAGGATTGAGCGAGGAGATTCGCACCAGTTTGGATGGCGCTGGGCTCAATACACTTTCAAAGTTTGCATTTGCAAGTTCATATGTGCCTGGTGCTGGCGATGATGCAGAGTTTGTGAAGACCGTAAAAACGGTACTTGGCAGGGACCCTACATTGGGAGAATTGGCATCCTTTCGAAAGCTTTTGCATGAGTCCTATTCACTTGTGACACAAGAAATGAAACAGCAATTGGAAAGGAGTGAGGATGTCCAGACACGTAAGTTGACACAGCCAGAGCGCGCGGACCTTTACGAAAGACAGGTCAAGCGCATCACAGGTCTCACATTGCGTGGGCCTTTGGAACCAAGTGATGGCCTTGTTGATTTGTTTTGTGCGATGTACGAAGCAAACAGGCTTCGATTTGTACCTTGGGAAAAATATACAGCAAAAGAAGCAGAGATCGACAAGGAAGTTCGCACAGAGCATTTGTTTGCTGTGGACTCAAATGGCAAGCTTAAGGTTGAAGGGAAAAAGCCTGACCCTGTAGCAGACACCTCAACCGAGATTTTGCTTCAGTACGCACTCCAGCGTAGGGGCTTGAGCATGGATCAGGCCAATTTGTTGGAGTTCAGGACCCACCAATTATGGGTCGACCGCGTGCTCAAAGTGAGACTGGAAGTGCCTCCTGCAGGTTATGCAAGGACTTCCTTCCGTCAGGTTTTTGAAGCTGACAAAAAGCTCTTTGAGGAGCTTGCCAATGCCACGAGGCACGGGGTGCAGGCCACAGTCAATGGTAGGCCTCTTGACCGTGTTTTTGAAGATTGCATGAACAAACCTGAAGTTGTTCATTTGCTTCAGCCTTTGATGGGTAAGAGCATGGATTACAAGAGCGAGGAGAAGCCTGCTCCGAACAGGCCCAGTCCATATAGTAGGTCACAAAACCCTGGAAAGAGCAAAGGCAAAGGCAAGACACAAGGAAAGAGCAAAGGATCTCCTAAGATGCCTTTGGTGCTTCTTAATGGAGGTTGTAGGGCCACGACAAATGCAGGAGATGCAATTTGTTACGGGTTCAACTTGGGGACATGTACAAACAAGGTCAATGCTGGACGTTGTGAGAGAGGTTATCATGTTTGTGCATTGCCGAAGTGTGGCAAACACCATGCCTATGTCAACTGTCCCACGAAGTCATGGGGCTCTTGACTAGAAGCCCAAGAGTCCAAAGAGGGTCAAGACGGTGAGCTGCAACGAGCAGAATCACCTGTGAGTTTGAGTCACGAAGGCCCGAAGTGGCAATTGGAGGAAAGCCTGAAAGGTGCTTCAAAGAACCCTTTCTTTCATTGAAGCTTGTTGTGGCAGCGCACTTCTCAGTTCGTGTGTTTCTAAAGCTGGCTTTGATGTGTTAGCAATTGAATTTCATGGCAACAAGCACCGACCATTTGTGCATGTTGTAGAATTAGATCTGCGAAAGCGATCTACACGGAGTTTCTTGGAACACCTGGCACGGTCTAGGCGACCTTTCCACTTTCACGCCGCTCCACCATGCGGCACAGCTTCAAGAGCGAGAGATGTCGCTCTTACAGAAGATCAACATGGGCCCCCACCATTGCGTTCAGAAGAACATCCCATCGGTTTTCCATGGCTCACTGGTTTTTGGAAAGACAAAGTCGAATCTGCAGATTCGATATATATCCATTTAGCTTGGTTGAACCTTCTTCAGGTTGGATGGAGCATTGAGAATCCTGGGCGCAGCTACCTTTGGAACATCGAGGATTACAAGATTTTAGTGTCTGTAGCTGTCTTCATACTTTTCACTCATGCATCCATGGAAGCGACAAAAAAAAAAGCTCACTACATTGCTCACCAATCGAGTGTAATTCAAGTGCTTGCTGGATACAGTCAGGGAGACCACGAATATCTGCCGTGGTCACATACGAACGAAAATGGATATATTATATTTGACACTAACAAAGAAGCTGCGTATCCTAAACTCTTCAGTGAGCGGTTTGCAAATGTGTTGGCAGACATGGCTGGTGTCGCTGACTCTCAGACCACGGACGGCTTGTATGACAAGACTGCTTTGATGGATGCAAGAGTGACTACACACAAACAACCACGAGACAGAAAAATTGCCACTCTTGTGCCTGAGTATGCACAAGTGCAGACAGTCCGAATACCTGTTCATGACGAACCTCTTCTTTCAGATAAGCGGATTTTACTTGAAGCATTTGCGGGCGTGCCAGCCGGCAGCAAGCTTCTCAGATTTGCTAAAGCGAAAAGGGGGAATGCTGGAGATGACACTCACTTCGTCATACGGGTTTTTGGCATATACAGGACCCTCAACAGATCACCACTGGAAACAATGAAGTTGCGGCTGGAGACGATCAGGAAGTGGCGATGCCTAGCAGACTTACTGTCCGACGAAAACAACCAAATATTCTCCAACATGGATGCTGGCTGCTCCCTGGGTTTGAAAGGCAAACATCTTGCCCTTCTTGAGAAGCTGGCGACTGACTATGACTGGCGACTGACTATGACTTCCAATTCGGAGTGTGGCATCTGTTTTACATTTCAATAGGATCTCGAGGTTTTTGCATATGTTGGGCTTGCAACTGGATGTGGCGTGGACGAATTACTATGATTATTTTCCTGTAGTAGATTTCAAAGTGCTTGCGGATCACACGTCCGCGGCAATCAAGGCTTTGACCTCGATGCTTGGGTTCGAGTGTTCTCTGGGCAAAGAGTTTCCTTTGCGGAGACAGCAGAAATGCTTGGAGTCATGCTCGACCTGCAGCATGCCAGTGCTGGTACGATCAAGGTTGCAAACAAGCCGAACAGAATGGACGGGCTTGAGCCCACCGTGCAACATATCATTTCTTCCGGCAGGGTTGTCACCAAAGACCTGCCATCATTTTTTGGAAGAGCGTCGTTTGTGGAAAGTCAATTTATGGGAAGAGAAGGACGGCTGGCCTTGTCTGAGCTGAGAGCCATGGAACGTAGTAAGTCTCAATGGGTTGAACTCTCGGCAGCACAGATGGATGCTCTTAAGAATTTGCTTACGGGGTACCATAAAGCTGTGCCGAGGTCTTTGAAGGTTGATGGACGAGCTTAAGTCCACCGTGCAACATATCATTTCTTCCGGCAGAGTTGTCACCAAAGACCTGCCATCACTTTTTGGAAGAGCGTTGTTTGTGGAAAGTCAATTATGGGAAGAGAAGGACGGCTGACCTTGTCTGAGCTGAGAGCCATGGAACGTAGTGAGTCTCGATGTGTTGAACTCTCGGCAGCACAGGTGGATGCTCTTGAGAATTTGCTTACGAGGTACCTTAAAGCTGTGCCGAGGTCTTTGAAGATTGAAAGTGTTTCCATGCCGCTTGTCTTGTTTACAGATGGTGCCTGTGAACCTGTAGGCGATGACATAGCATGCTCGGTGGGTGGAATCTTGTTTGACCCAAGAGATGGAGGCGGGTTGAAGTTTTTTTTGGGGCGCATGTCAGTTCCGAAGTTGTAGAGTCTTGGAAGAGAGTTGGAAAGAAACATCCGGTTGCTTTGACTGAGTTGTACGCAGTGTGTGTCGCGCGACACATATGGAAGGACAGGATGGACGATTGCAAGTGTGTGTTGATGCTCTTATCAAAGGATATAGTTCGGAAGATGTGATGAAATCTCTTTTGATCCTGCTTGAAAAGTTTGATGGTGACCGACCGTTCTTGCCTTGGTTTTGCAGAGTCCCCTCTCAGTCGCACATTTCGGATTTGCCTTCCAGAGGCAGGTGGAAAGAGTTGCGTGAGAATTTTGCCAGACTATGTTTTTGTGGAAGCATTTTGCCCGTTTGAGTCCAAGAAACGCCGTACCGTTTTGCAAGACGAAAAGCATGGCTGAAGGAAATGGGGAAAAACAAAGTTGCAGTTTGTCAAGCAAACTTCAGAACCAAGAATGCAAAGTGCGCATGAGGCGTTTGCGCCTTAGAAAAGCGAAGTGCTTTTCTTTTCAGTCAAGGGATTGAAAAGATCAGAAAGTTTGAACCAAGAGTTCTCGAAAGGGTGAATTTTTCGAAAGACCGTTTGAACATCCCCAATCGTTCAGCCGTGCGCTGGAAAAAGACCAGACCGTTCTGTCCTTTGCATTTCAGCTGTGAATATATATATGTATATATATATATTCGATATATATGTGTTGTTTATTCTTACCGTGGCGATAGCCTCACTAAGTTTCTAGATTTGTAGTCGCGCGTTTGAAACATTGGTTTATAGCGACTTCATTTCCCGCGTGTTTTGGTTTGTTTTCAACTTTATGTCATAAGCAATACTTGAGTTGAAAACTCATGATGAATTATGGCAACAAAGTTGAATTCGTTTGGAAGTTGTGAAACAACTTTCTTGCAAACCAAAAACACCTTTTCTCACGTCAAAAAAAAAACTGAAGAAACAAGTTTTATGTTGGTAAGACCAACTGTGCGTTGCAAGCAAAGTGCTTGCTCTTTTTCATGACGTTTTTACACACGTGATGTTTCAGGTTCAAAACAGAAACACCTTTTTCTATGCAAGGTCTCAAGGTCGTTTCTCCAGACGTTGTTTTGTTGTCACAACCGTTTCTGCGACGAAAGAGGGGTTAAATTTAACCCCCTTTTATGACACTAAGAGTTTAAAATCAATCTGTGAATTTGATTCAATGTATGTCCGGTATTTTACAAGTCAAGGGCGGGTGTGGAGGGTTTCAAAACCTTTTTCCAATTTTTGTCCCTCCCACCCATAACCCAAAAATTTCCAAAAGTACGCAACCAAACTTGAGAAACACGAAGTCGTAGTTTGTCACACAAACTTCAACTGGGGAAAACAAAGTTGCAGTTTGTCAAGCAAACTTCAGAACCAAGAATGCAAAGTGCGCATGAGGCGTTTGCGCCTTAGAAAAGCGAAGTGCTTTTCTTTTCAGTCAAGGGATTGAAAAGATCAGAAAGTTTGAACCAAGAGTTCTCGAAAGGGTGAATTTTTCGAAAGACCGTTTGAACATCCCCAATCGTTCAGCCGTGCGCTGGAAAAAGACCAGACCGTTCTGTCCTTTGCATTTCAGCTGTGAATATATATATGTATATATATATATTCGATATATATGTGTTGTTTATTCTTACCGTGGCGATAGCCTCACTAAGTTTCTAGATTTGTAGTCGCGCGTTTGAAACATTGGTTTATAGCGACTTCATTTCCCGCGTGTTTTGGTTTGTTTTCAACTTTATGTCATAAAGAACGTAGATTTCATGTCCTCGTCTCCCTCTGAGCCATGTCTGCAGACATCCTCAGTTCCGATTACTCAGAATGAAGAGCAAGCTGCTCAACAAAAGGATGATTCTTCATATGTCCTTTGTCAATACGATTCCTCTGAAAATGAGGAAGAAAAGGCTCTGAAAACGGAACACAGATCATGGATCATGATGTGGACCTTCCCCACACCGAGATCGTATTTGAAAACTTATGAAGAAAGAAAGAAGAAAAATGAACTGATTCCAAGAGACATCAGCAGAGAGGAGCTCGAAAAAAACTTTCTGGATGCTTTGAACAAGTGCCAGCTGATGGGGAAATTGAGGCAGATGATAGTGGTTTACGAACCACACAAGAAGCTTATGCCGGATGGCAGTGCACACGAAATGCACTACCACGTTTGTTTCAAGATGTCTGCAAACTTTGCCCACAAAGGGGTGTCCAACACACTTGCTCAACACTACGGGCTACATGGACACATGTCGTACCCGAGGAAAGGCTGGTACCAAATGGCAAAGTACGTGCTCACAGACTCTGCTGTGAAGCTACCCGTACATTTAGACCCCCACTCCATTATTCTGGCCGACAAGAATGACAAAAGAAGACATGCTGAAGAAGATGCAGCTCACCGAAGAGGACTACTTGAAAAAAAGAGCGGAAGAAAATAGGATGCAATGGAAGGAAGAAAGCAACAATGGCGATGGTACACATCAGGACCGATGGAGAAAAAGAAGGAGAGTGCTCGATTTCTCCGAATTTTCCGACTACGTCCTACACCACAAAATCACAAACGAACAAGAGTTCTGGGTGTTGGCTTGTAAGGAGAAAGAAGCAGGCAATCCAACTCTGTGGAACTATGATGGAACGGCGGCTGTGGCCAAACAAATCCAGAAATGCAATAAGGCACACATGGCCCAATTCCGGGACGATGTCTTTTTAGGCACCTCGAAAGCTACAAGCAAATATCCATTATCTGCTTTCAACATCCCAGACACAATTCGTGTTTGGATGGAACACTTCAAAGGTGAAATGGCTCTTATCATCCAAGGCGAGGGAGGACTTGGAAAGACAGAAATGGCAAAGGCAATATTGGCCTCAATGGGAAAGTACTTCTTTGTGGACAGTTTGGATACTGTGAAATCATTGCTTTTCACAGGAAAAGAGTCGATTCTTTTCGACGACGTCACACTGCAGAACTTCTCAGTTGACGAGGTGAAGTCATTTCTCGACGTCAAATCGGAAAGAGCCGTGAAATGCCGCCATGAGGATGGTTTTATTCCTGCTGATACTGTCAGGATATTTCTAACAAATCATGAACGGCATACCTTTTTTCCAAGGGAAACTGAGAACAAAGATCATTCAAGGGCCATCAACAGAAGAATGATCTGGGTCACAGTGACCGAGAAACTGTTCACGGAATCAGATGGAAAGACTCAAAAAGACAAAGAAAATGAAGTTGGAGTAGAGTGTGAGTCGGAGATTCCGGTAATGGATGATCTGGAAACACTCAAAACAAAACAATCGAGGACTGCAAAGGAACCTTCCTTGAAAAGCCCATTTGATGAAGAATATGAACCTTTGTTAGAAGAATACGACATGTTCGACGGAGATGAGGAAGCTGCAATGTGGATGAATCTTTCTTCGGAAGATGCATGCAGAGAATCTCCTGGCAGCTCAAAAGGATTGCCTTTGCTGAGTTCAGGGAAAACCTCGCCTTCCGCAAACAAAGAGCTTGAAGCAAAAATGATGACTGAGAAAGAGACAAAAAGACCCGGAAAAGATGAGACCGCTCACCTTGGAAAAGACACGGTTTCGATTGAGAATCATGAACATGATCGACCTGAACCCCAAAAAAACATCAATCGAGTGAAGTGCATTGCCGAAAACAGTTTCCGACCTTTGGTCAGATACCGGAGAAAGAGCAAGCCGAACCCTCCATGGCACCACTATGAACATCGAAGAAGAGATGTACGATGGGGCACGTCACAGAAGTCATGGTGGCCGTGGCAATCATGAAATGCAAGAGATTTATCATTACGATGTCCATTTGGTTTTGCTCCAAAGCAGGGCTCTTCAACAGCGAGTGATCGGGCTTCAGATCAACACAACTATGGCAGGATTATATATTTGCTATACGATTGGAAATAAAAATCATATGTACAAGCTGTTTGTTTCATCATGTTACCTCTTAGCTGCCCTGCACAATCATTTTGTCTCGTTTTCAACGAGAAATTAATGAATGCTGGGAAGCATTTTTGCTTCATTGTAGAATTTACATGAAGCTTAATTAGACAAGGTTTCCGTTTGCACACAGACGGAAGAAACGATCAGAGAGTTGTTCTGCTGTGTCTGCTGAAACATGTTTCGTTTCTTTATCGTGGCTACTGACTCAGAATAAGCTTCTTGCAGAGAATTTCTAGCTTTCATTGCATCTTCTCATAAGGTCTTGTTGATTTCTGTTCGAAGTGCAAGGGAAATGTACCTTTTTTTTTGGCTTCAAACAAACGCGTAAACGGTAAACTTAGGGACGAAAGACAAACAGTCCTCATGGTCTTTTCCATCAGATCCAAACAACACATCATCTTGTCCTCGATTCTATTTGCAGTTCGAGCTCAAAAACTTTCGTTACTTGGTCGCAACATGCCAAAACCCGAGGAACTAGATACGGCATGCCTGGTTTATTTGCTGACAGGTCATTTGACGGTATGCATCCACTCAGCTTTCACAGAAACTGCAAATGATGAGTGGAACACTCGGACAATCAATGTCAAACAGTTCCTGGAGAAAGGGAGGCATGTAACGAGGAAGTTGGCAGACAACGATTTGGAAATGTTTTATCATTTCGATTTAGCTTGGACGGATGCAGCTTATTTTTTTCAATCTCTGCTGCACAAGAATGGGAACGTGGATGCTCGCAAATTGAAAAGCAAAGAAACATCATTGCAAAGCAAAAGGAAAGGTACGTTTGCAGAGACAGATTCCAAAATTGCTATGCTAGTTCAGCGACTTACCAATGATGTGACACATGGCATCGGAAAGCAACATCCGAATGACTGGGAGGAAATTGCCAACAAATACATGTGGGCCAACGCTCAGCTCACTCATTTGCCAAATATTCTAGGTTTGGAACAGAGTATGCGTGCATTTCGCCTTTTGACTTTGGAAGCTTCTGAATTTGCATCGTCGCTCCATGATCAGTGGAAAAGAGAAGAAGCACGAAGACACAATCAAGAAGACGAATAGATCGCTCCATTTACCGACGACAATGAAACTGTGATCTGCAGTGATGCTTAGAATCTAAAAAATCCTACGAATATATCTTGGGTATGTTTTTCGGCCCTTACTCAACATTTGTAGAGGCCACGCATTGGCTCAACAAATGGAACCGGATGTGGTCGACTGGTTGGGGTGCGTTGCAATCAAATGGACTACATACAACAAATGTCTGACGTGTGAGCAGTGGTGATGTCTGCAAATCAGTCGTTTTACCCGACATTTTGGTGAATGCATTGTCCGATGTGCGGCAAGCATCTTGGTTGCAACCTAGCAGAGGAGACCAGCGCAAAAAAAGGCAGTCATGCTGAGATCGGATTTAAAATCAATGTTATCCGGCAATGGTATTTAAAATCAATGACATGAACGAGGCTGGCTTCAAATGACCATTACTTTCTGTCCTCACCGTGAACGTGCCACGAATGCGTGTTTATGCTTTCGGCTCAATTCTGTTCATTCCTTTTTTGTAAACAGAATAGATCATTTCATGCCACGAAGATATTTCAAGAAGGGCATTAAACAAACACCCATTTCGTAGCTTCATTACATTGAAACAACATGTGATTGGAGAGACCACATGAAAAGACCTAAACTAAGATTGCCTCCAAAATAAATGGCAATGGCATGGGATGCGATGGGTACCACCTTCGATAGTCTCATCGATCCATTGTTCAAGATCAACAGTCTATTGGCACGCTTGCAGGATCTGGAATCAGATCTATTTCAGATACAGGAGGACACACCAGGTTATTTCTTAGAAGCCAATCATGCAATCAAACAGGCTCTGGCGCAAGCACGACAAGCGATTCGGGCAATTGAACAACAGCAACGCAGACATCTGGTTTTTTTTCACGGAAGCCTTGTGCGATACCATACCGATCTTGAAAGATTTCCACCACTTTGCGATCCTCAAGCAGGCTTTTTACACAGCCAGTAGCCAGTGAGAGATTCCGAAGAAGGATGATCTTAGAAATTTCCCAATTAGGAACCTAAGACGATTCTTGGGTGCAATTTGTCAAAAGTCTTAGGCGTTGAGGGAGACATTGAACGCCAAGAGAAAAAGCTCACACAGTGCATCAGCATTCAAACTGTGTATGCAAGGTTCGGTGAACTTTGTTGCGGAATTGGAGGAAAAAAAAAGGTTTCAATACAATCGTAGAGATGAAAGTTGGTGATAGGGAATGTTCGTGATCCCGTTCGAAAGAAAAGAATGTTCCAGATGCAAGTCGGTGATCGGGACTGTTCGCGATCCGGTTCGTAAAGCATTGATTTCTTTAACCTCCTTTTTTTCAAGGATTTGCATCATAGAGAGTCGCACCGATGAGTTTTATTTTTCAGACATTTGGTGCGACTGAAAGCTGCGATGCTGTCTTGGTACGGTCATTTGGTGCGACTCACAGGTGCGACTTGTGTTTGGTACGGTCATGTGGTGCGACTGAAAAAAAAAACAAAAAAAAAAAAAAAAAAAAAAAAAAACAAAAAAAAAGAAAAAAAAAAAGACTCCCTCCCCCACCCTCACTCGTTCCCCCCCCCCCCCCCACCCCCGCCCCCCACCCCCCCCTCTCGCAACCCCTCCCTCCCCCCGCCCCCCCCCGTCCCCCGTCCCCCCTTCCGCTCCCCCCGCCCCCCGCTGCTCCCCCCTGTCCCCCCCCCCCCCCCACCTCCCCCTCGCCCCTTTGGCTCCTTCTTGGTTTTTTCCTTTCACATTGACTTTTTTGCTCCTCACATTTGCGAACTGTTTTTTTTTCCTTACAGCGGCCTAGGTCAAGCGCCAACGAAAAACGGTCGTGCTGCGACTTCAAGACAATGGTTTCTGGTTACGGACATTTGGTGCGACCGAAAGGTGCGACGGTGTTTTGGTACGGTCATTTGGTGCGACTCGAAGGTGCACCATTTCTTTGGTACGGTCATTTGGTGACTCACAGGTGCGACGTTTGTTTGGTACGGTCATGTGGTGCGACTGAAAGGTGCGCCGGTTTCTTGGTACGGTCATGTGGTGCGACTGAAAGGTGCGACGGTTTTTTTGCTACGGTCATCTGGTGCGACTGCAAGCTGCGACTCTTCGTCTGCTACGATCACTTGCTGCGACCCAAGGGTGCGACTCTTGGCTTGGTACGGTCATGTGGTGCGAATGAAAGGTGCGACGGTCTTTTCGTACGGTCATGTGGTGCGACTGAAAGATGCGACGGTGTCTTGCTACGGTCATTTGGTGCGACTCACAGGTGCGACGTGTGTTTGGTACGGTCATGTGGTGCGACTGAAAGGTGCAACGCTTGTTTGGTACGGTCATGTGGTGCGACTCACAGTTGCGACGGTTTCTGGTTACGGACATTTGGTGCGACCGAAAGGTGCGACGGTGTTTTGGTACGGTCATTTGGTGCGACTCGAAGGTGCA